AAACATTTTAGGCTGACTGCCAAGTTGATTTTTGTTTATGTTGCTTGGTAGTGCAAGGTAGTTTTGCTTGTGGGGTTTTGTTTATCTGTGATCTCTCTCTCTCTCTCTCTCTCTCTCTCTCTCTCTCTCTCTCTCTCTCTCTCTCTCTCTCTCTCTCTCTCTCTCTCTCTCTCTCTCTCTCTCTCTCTCTCTCTCTCTCTCTCTCTCGCTTTCACCTTACTCCGTCTCTTTAAATGTCTCTCCCTCAACCCCCTTTCCCCCCTCTCTCTCTTTCTTTACGTGCGTTTCTCTCTGTCTTTGCCTCTGTCTCTCTTTCCGTTTCTTCTCTATCTCTCCTCTCTCCTCTCTCTCTCTATCTATCTCTATCTATCTATCTCTATCTCTCTCTCTCTCATCTCTCTCTCTCTCTCTCTCTCTCTCTCTCTCTCTCTCTCTCTCTCTCTCTTCTCTCTCTCTCTCTCTCTCTCTTCTCTCTCTCTCTTCCTCTCTCCCTCCCTCTCTGGCACCCTTGGTGGAGAGGGTGAGGGAGTGGCGTGAGATGATCGCTGAAGGTGTGCAAGAAAAATTCTGCAACGACAGTATTTGTCTCATTAGAACTTCCAACACTTTATTGACTGATATCATTTTTAGACGAGCTAAGGTTACAAATGTTTCGCCATATACACTTCAACGGTGTTGCCTGTTGCTGATTTTTGATTTTTTGAAGTTGAAGATTGGTCCTAGTTGTGTGCAGGTGTTGCAACCCTACAGTTCATATTTTCGCTCAGTGCTGATAGGCCTAGGTATCGTTCAGGACCCGACACCCTGCTTTGTGTACGTAAAACTCGTAATAACTTGGACGAAACTTTTAGGAACTTATCGAAATTTAGTATTACTCGAATCTTGGCGGGTTTAAAAAGCAGATTCCGTTTCGTGACGTGGTTTCCATAACTAAATATCCGTTATTAATAAACTATATCAAAAGATGAAATGGTGGCAGCAGTCTTCGCTCACCAACCTGGAAGGGGGCAGTGGCTTGAGAAGTTTTAATACTAGTAAAAGGATCATAATATGTGTCTGATAAACAAACCAGCTGGAATCCCACTCTCCCCCTGAACTCTACTGTGTCAGCTCCTCCCTTCCCTATGCCACGGGGTCTAAGGCCTGATCTTCACCTCCGATAGCCAAAAGAAAAAGAAAAATCACATATAGCTGTCTTTGTGTTTTAGATTAGCGTGTGCCTGTGCATACCTTTGCGCAAATACTTGTTTTTGTAAAAAGATAGGTAGATAAAATAAGAGATAAGTAAATAAATTAATAAAAACTACCGGTTGCCCATATACGCTGAGTGTTTCCGGCATAGTAACAAGGGGGGGGGTGTCTGCAAGTCAGGATGATGGATCGATCCCTCTTCCCGGCCAGGTAAGGAAAGGTGATTAATTAACAGCTACGTGCGAAGAAAAAAATGAATATATAAGAAAAGAAGAAAAAAAAAGACCATCACTATAAAAAAAAAAATCTATAAATAGCAACCATGTGACAGATCAAGGAAGAAGGAAGCAGGAACATTAGATGGAAGTAAAAAAAAGAAAAAGAAAAAAGAAACGGCCCATAAAATGGTAAGAGGTGAGGCTTAGAGCGCGGCGAAAGGTTGGCCTGGCAGGGGGTCTAGCCAGAGGGGGGGGGGTAGAAGGTCGAGGCCAAAGGGGGGAGGGGGCTGGCTGGCGACGCGACGGCAGGGTTGCGCCTGGCAGTTTGGGCAGGGTCGAGGCACAAGCTGGAGATACGTTCGCATGTGCTGCCGCCGCAACCCACGCTGTCACTGACTTCACGTCTTGTTTTTTCTCTCTTTCTCTCTATTTTTAGCGCCATTTGTGACTTCTCTCCCTTCGTTGGACCTTCTGCGTGTACTGAATCGTAAGTTTGTTATTCGTGCCCCCCGTGTTATGAATACTCGTATGGCAATGTGTTGTGCAAGTTCATATATAGGGTGAGGAAGGGAAGGGTGTGTGAAGAATGAGAAGAGATAGGGAAAAGGAAGGAAGATGTGGTACCTGTGTTAATGTGATGTATGCATTATGAATATGTATATCGATACATCCTTTTGCATATTCTGTGCATGGCAATTGAAAGATAGGCGGCAATCACATTCCCGCTTAGCTTTAAAATATATATCCGTTCCACCATCTTTGAAATAAATGACAATCGACGGATGATTATTGAATGAATCACCCGCCTGCATTTAGTCTCAATGGGCGCGTGCTGGCGTCGTCGTGTTTATAGAGGGATCATACATGTAAATGTTTATCGTTAAGAAAAATTACCCCACTGTAAACAAAAAAGTGTTTTTGTAGATGAGACAATAGGTTTCTGAAAATACTACCGTCCTTTCTAAACCGACTTTCTTAGCAATTAATGTCTGCCGATTTAAACACGACATGGCGTTTTGACGTCCCCCCCCCCCCCCTCTCCAATCAGTTCGCTGCCGCCATCGTGTTGAAAAGCCGGCGCGACACCAGGCGTCAGGAAATAAGCGATGGATTGACGAAACAAAAGAGACATTCACGAGAAAAAATAAACAATAGTTTTGTGATGATAGTGTCAATCATCGTCATCATTCTGATTGTGATGATTGTGAAAATGGTGATTGTGTGCTGTCATTATGATTATTTTCATTATCATTATTATCTCTTGTTACCATGGCTATCATTTATTTGGTTTTATTTATCATCATTACTATTACTTCATACTATGGTTATCATCAATTCATTATATCAATGTTATCGCTATTACTATCATCTTCATTAATAGTATTATTTTTAGCAATAGCATCATCATCATTTATACTTGATTAGTGTTTCAGTTGTTATTATCAGCTGCTGTGCTTCCGTACTATTCATTATCTCTACGAGTATTTCAGCAGTTTTTTTTCTTCCATCATTGTAACCGTTCGTTATCAGACTTGTTATCTTATCACTCCCTTAACCTTTTTTGGCGCATTTCCTCGTCTGGCAGTCTTGCTGACCCGCGTTCGACCCGTGCGCTGCCAGTGGATGGCAGCCCCGGCCATTCATTGCACACAGGGGGCAAATTAGTAGCAAATAGATAGACAGTATGTCACAGCCAATAATATACACTGTAACAAATGGAATTAAAACTAAATTATTGTTAATTAATTGTTATTCTATGGCTCTCTTCCTTTCGATTTATTATCTCTGTTGTTCGGAATTAACAGGTTTGCATACCCCCCAACTCAAAAATTGTTTTGGTAGTATTAATAGTAGAAATAGTGGTAGTGGTGATGGCAGTAGTATTATTATTAGTAGTAGTAATAGTAGAAATAGTAGCAGTAGTATATGTAGTAATTACTATTACCACAATCCCGCCACATCAGGAAATACCTCAGCACAATTCTTTGGTATTAAGAGAACCAATCAAAGTGTCGCAACAAGTGGAAAATAGTGATTAGCAGAGAATTCGGATTAGTGATTGGTGGCTTTTACGAGGGAGAGAGAGAAAGAGCGAAAGAGAGTGAAAGAAAGGGAGAAAGAACGAGGAGAGGGAGAGATAGCGAAAGAGAGAGAGAGAGAGAGAGAGAGAGAGAGAGAGAGAGAGAGAGAGAGAGAGAGAGAGAGAGAGAGAGAGAGAGAGAGAGAGAAAGGGAGAAAGAACGAAAGAGAGACGGAGAGAGAGCGCAAGAGAAAGAGAGGGAAAGAGAACCAAAGAGAGACGGAGAGTGAAAGAGAGAGGGAGAAAGAACGAAAGAGAGGGAGAGAGAACGAAAGAGAAAGGGAGAAAGAACGAAAGAGACGGAGAGAGAGTGAACGAAAGAGACGGAGAGGGAGTGAAAGGGAGAGGGAGAAAGAACTAAAGACAGGGAGATAGAGCGAGAGAGATCGAATAAGAGAGGGAGAGGGAGCGAAGTAGAGAAAACGTCTTATATACAGGAATAAGACCGAAATCTCTTTTTCACTGATGCTTATTTTTATACATATGAAATATATTACCAAAAAACATATGAACATATGACATAATATAATACAATATTTGTATTTCATTGTATAATCTATGACATATATAATTGTGAAAGGAAAATATGTAGTGATACACCAACATATACACCTCGCAAAATGAACTCGTCCATAGGCCTAACACAACTCCTACCTTATTTATTTATTTTTAGTCACAGAATTATATATATAATATATATATATATATATATATATATATATATATATATATATGTATATATGTATATTTGAAGCACATTAAACCGATTTATTTTAAACGTATCTAGAGCTGACCATCCCGTTTTTTAAACAGTAAGATTCTAATTCATATGTGAGTATAACAAGACCTTATGAAACCTCTTGAGTCCATAAATTACTAGCAGAAGACACGCCTATGGCACATATTTATTAAGTTTCAAGAATCGTGCTTATAAATAGAAAACGTTAAAATATTGCCGACTTTGCCTAGAGGATGAATAAGACAAATAGCCATGGATACGGAGATAAATTATTGCGGAGAGGCGGGTGTTGTGTATTCATAGGATTCGGGTACAAAGTATAGAGGCTCGGATCCCAAATGCGGCGGTCGCTGAGGACGTCAACCCGCCAACGCGATGCGAGGCTCGGGCCAGAAATGCTAGGTTTTGTTTATACTTTTTTCTCTCGTATTCCCCCTGTTGTGGTTGTAGCTGATACTGTTTTTTTCTTCTTCTTCTTTTTCTCATTCTTCCGTTTCTTGTATGTTTTACTGACACTATCAACATCAGCCTACAAATTACCCTTACCTTTAAGCCTCATCAAAACAATAAAATCCCACACGAAAATCCCATATACTGAAAAAAGAGGGAAAAAGAAAGAAATGAATTGAGGAAAGTATGAAGAAGAGATTAATAGAAGTAAAGAACGATAAGGTAGCAAAATATATACATATATATATATATATATATATATATATATATATATATATATATATAAATATAAAAATTCTATCGACCTCCCCTTCTTCCACAGGCCCAGACTCCTACTTCGTGGATAACATCTCTCGTGTTCCCTTCGCTTGAGGTGATGAAGACCCCGCAGCCTCACGTAGGACCTCAGCACCCCCCTTTGGCCAACGGGCTCGTCAACGGCACCCTCAGGCACGAAAACGAGGAGAACGGCGTTCCCAACGTCATCCTCAACGGGCACGATCCTAATCTGCAGAATAACGAAGTTGGGGATCCCGCGAGGAATATTCCGTTTTCTTTCCCGGTAAGAATGGGCGGTGGAATTCTTTCGGTGTGGGGGGTCTTCTCTGTTTCGTCGTTATCTTTTTCTCTGTTGTCTTGTCTTCTCTCCTCTCCTCTCCATTCTCTGTCTCTGTCTCTGTCTCTGTCTCTGTCTCTGTCTCTGTCTCTGTCTCTGTCTGTCTCTGTCTCTGTCTCTCTCTCTCTCTCTCTCTCTCTCTCTCTCTCTCTCTCTCTCTCTCTCTCTCTCTCTCTCTCTCTCTCTCTCTCTCTCTCTCTCTCTCCTTCTCTCTTCACGTCTCACCCTCTCTCTCATGCATGCGTGTCTGTCTCTGTGTATATATATTACCAACAGTCAAAAAAAGGGCTTTTCTGTTAAGTGGAAATTTCTAATTCAAAATGCGATTTAAAATGTCCAACTTAAAGAACTTCTATAAGGGCAACTGTACTTAATGAGTACATGTTGAAATTGCATACAATACAATATGCAAATCTGTTTATCCTGTAATGAACCAGGACTTTATCGGAGTCGGTGAAGTTACGTTTTTACCTTTTTAATCATACTTTAGAAGGGTTTTGATATTTCTATAGCTGTCGAGGCTTTTTTCCATAATTGTTAAAATCATTCATATAAGATTATTTTCTCAACTGGTTCATTGTTAATATCTTTTTCATATTATTTGTTTCTCATTGGTTTATTGTTAATAACCTCCTCATATGATTTGTTTCTCGTTGGTTTATTGTTTATAATCTTATTTGATCAGTTTCTTATCGGTAATTTTTAGTATGATTTGTTCCTCTTTTGTACATCAATAGTATTCGCATTTGTTCAGATGATTTAGAGCAGCGGTTCGCAGTCTTTCCCATCACAGGATACTCATAAATAATTAAAGTCTCCATTGCCCATCAAACATACCACTATTTTAAGTTGCGCTGGTATTTTCGTCTATTAAAAGTACCTACCATGAGCTTAGGAAAATATCTCCTACATGTCTAGAATCATTGGTATTAATTGTAGAGAATTCTATATATGCATGACAGTTAAACCTGTTAATAATTAGCATGGAGACCTAGTGATCCAGGCATATGCTGAATTTGCTTCGAATTATGAATAAATAGTATGACATCAGCAGACACTGATGAAAATGTTGTGTCGGAGAATATTACAGGGACTTTTATGCAATCTCATATCATTAAAGATTTGAGCTTAACTACATCTTACATAGCCTCTCTCTTTCACAACGCTACTACAATATGTGCTTATTATGTCCACAGTAATTTCTTCCTCAGTCACTTAAATATTAGTAATCGGTTAGTTCGTCGTTCCAACTAAGATTTGCCTGAATAACAACAGCTTATTTTCTCTTGTATCTCAGGCATACAGAGATCTGACTTGCAATGACATTCTTGGAAGTGCGAGAGGTTTTATGGTGTACTCGTGGAAAGAGAAATTCAGAATTTTCAAAGTGATACAGGCATTAACATATAAATCTCTGTTTGCCATTATAAAAAGGATATAGGAATAAATAACAGAAAAAGTCTACCTACTTCTCATATCCTAAAACAGTGAGTTATTAGCTCTCTTTTGACAAGCTCCATGTAAATATGCATGTCATTATAGCATAGAATCATGGCTAAACTACCATAAAACTGGAAATGCATTGCACTCTTACGATTACCATGGTTAATCGCGGATTTTGGGAAATTTCCGAAAATACGCTTCACAACCCTACCACTGTTCTTGGCAAAATCCCTGATATCCCGCGGAGAAAATTTCCGCGCCACTGTACCCTGTTGCTCCCCATCGCAGCCTTTGGTGATTACTGCTAACCCGCCCAGCGCCGACCCCGCCATAGCCGTCCGCCCCGAAGACTCAAAGAACTTGGAGAACTGCATGATAAAGCATGAGTCGACGCTCGGCCACGACCGCAAGAACCTCCTCAATGTGGACAACAACGCTGACTCGAACAGAGCCAACGGATCGAGGCGGATTCGGTACCTCAGCCAGAGCGATGACACACACGATTACCTTTTTGTAAGACTTCTACAGCCATTTGTCTGCTCTGAGTTCTGGACTAACCGGGTGTAGGGTAAAGTGCCCTGGACTCTTTCGACGTGATTTGGTGGTGTTTTACAGTGTTTGTGTCCTAACTTTCCATCTACATAACAAGAAATTGTGTGATGTTTGTGTTTCCTGCTGTACAATTTTCTTGTTAAGAAAATTGTGGTTTCTTTGCTGTAATCTAGTCAACAGTTGCAACGGAAAGCGGGTATGAAAATATCATTGGGCAAAAGAGAATTTTTTTTTTTTTTTTTTTTTTTTTTTTTGTAAAACAAACTCTCTGTTTCTCTCTATTGATATGTATGTATTTTTTTCTTCATTTATTATATTTTACTTTTTTTTCTTTTCTTTATTTCCTTTCCTCTCTTTCTTCCATTTTCTTCTTCATGAAAGACTGTTACGACGATCCATGAAGTTACCCAATGTTTGTTTTGACTCCCAAGTAAAAGACATGATGCATCCTTCAGAATTATAAAGCCACTTTGGGCACTTGCTTGGCGAGCATAGGTGTAGCGCTAAATAATTACTTTTGCTATTTCTTCATAATGAAAGGCCTGTATGTCTGGACAAAACGCATGCATTCTAAAAACGGGGTAAATTTCTATTTGCACGAGCTAATTCAGTTTGCATGGCTTAAATACACACACACACACACACACACACACACACACACACACACACACACACACACACACACACACACACACACACACACACACACACACACACACACACACACACACACACACACACACACACACACACACACACACACACACACCCCTGCCTGTCTGCCTATCTACCTACTTACCTACCTACCTATCTACTAACACATACATATGTACATACAAATACTTATGCATTTGCTTACACACACGCACAAATATATATATGCAATCTATATTTACAGTGTTTCGCCCATGCATGCTGTGTCTGAATGTCATAAAAGTAACAGAAACTAATATTAACTTTATTGCTAATTACCTTCTTCTTACATTGACTTTGGTAAGATAAATGTGCAGTGCCATTGCTGCTACCTATTGTTGTGATTCACCTTAATTGCAATAGTAACTATTAGCTTTATCATACAGATCGGACATTTCACATTGTAGATATTGATCGACTTATCGGAATAAAAGATATTTTAGTGTAAATATTTGTCACAGCGCATTGTAAATTAAAAAAAATTAATGTAATAGTCATCAACACATAACTGATCCATCTGTATCTCTTCTTAAGCTCAGATATCATTATTCCTGTATCTCATTTTTCATTTCACTTTTTCAGTCACTACAGAAAAAAAATGTAAAGAGAATTCCTTGAATGTTACTCATTATTATATTAATGATATCCTGTTAATACTATTTCCAAGTATTATTACCTTTCCATTTGTGTACTTTATTTATATCTCTTTTATTTATTTGTTTGTTTATTTATTACTCAAGGTGTCCCATGCTGTCAATCGTTATATAAATAATCTCCACTTCCACATATTCCCAAGTATTAATCTCAGCACTCCATCTTGATTTTTTATTTATCAATTTGTCTTGTTTCTCTCAGGGTGTTCCAGAGCCCCTGGAAGCCATGATGGAAGTGAGGGAGAAGGGAGAAGATGAGGAGATGGAACTCATGAGCAAGAAGCTTGGAGATATGTCGACGTGAGTATACGTTTGTTTGTTTTTTGTGTGTGTGTGAGGGGGGGGGGGTTGTGTAGGTTGCTGTGGTGATAATGAAGGTCGGACGCACCTAGGCAAGTATGTGTGATTAAGGTCGGACTCAACTAGACGAATCTGAGGGGTTGAGGAGGAGAGAGGGGAAACTCGCCAAAATCAAAATCTGAAATAAAGGGGTTTAAAGTTTCTCCCTGACCGCTAGTTTTATACCATATTTATATCCTTAATTCTCAGCCATTGATAAGGGAACTGGAACTATAAACAACATAATTTCTTGCAATAAGATAAAGCAGATTTCATAGAAAACGTATTTTAGCTAAAGTGGCGAGTTCACCTCCCATTCTCAACGCCGCATTATTGTACAACTGAGATCGAATTCACCCAGGCCGGTATGTGGAATAAGTTTGGACTCAAATTGGCTGATATGGTAATAACTGAATTTAGGAATGATGCAACTTTTTTAGGGGGGATTTATATATACATTGTCCTCTCATTGTCCGATCACCCATTGCGCTTACATTTTACACCTGAAATGATACTTCATCTGACCGTAGACTTGAAGTTTCTTGAATTTGATGTTAACTGGGCATCTTATGCGTGGAACTATATTCCTTTCAACTGTGGACTAAATCTATTCATTTTTTGTGTGAAATGTGATTTATAACAACATAAATATTAAAGAATGACATACGCATTCTATTTTATCTCTATAACTATCATCATTAACATTATTGTTATTATCATTATAATATTATTTTCAATGTTTTTGCTATAATTATGATTATCATCATCATCACTATTATTATCATTATTATTGTTATTATTATTATTATTATTGTCATTATTATTATTATTATCTTCGAGGCAAGTACACTACTGAATTAGGTAGACCATCAGTTTATGGACCTTTATTATTTACATTATCCGAGGGAGAAAGTTAAGCAGGAAGGGAGGAAGGAAAGGGGAAGGGAAAAGGAGGAGAATCAGGGAGATAGAGGGATAAGAAATGGGGGGAGGGAAAAAGGGAAGAAAAGGGGTGTGAAAGAGGGAGGAAAGGAGTGGAAGGGGAAGAAAGAGGGAGAGGGAGAAGAGGAGGGGAAGGCGGCTTAAAGAGAATAGAGAAATGGAGAAGGGGAAACAGCGGGGACTTAAGGAGGAAAAGGACATGGGGAAAGGTAGAGGAGAAAACATGGGAATAAATGGGGAGAAGAACACAAGGGATCCAATGAGGTTGGGGAGATTAAAGAGGAAGAGGAGGGAAGTGGGGAGGGGGTAAATTTAAGGAAGATTTGGGAGTGAGAGGAGTGGCAGAGCGGAAAAGGGAACGGTAGAAGGAGAGAGAAGGGAAAAGGGAAGGCGAAAGGTAGAAAGAGAGAAAGAGAGAGGAGAGGGAGGGAGGGAGGGGAGAGAAACATATATATATATAATATATATATATATATATATATATATATATATATATATATATATACATATACATATATATATATATATATATATATATATATATATATATATATATATATATATATATATATATATTATAGAGAGAGAGAGAGAGAGAGAGAGAGAGAGAGAGAGAGAGAGAGAGAGAGAGAGCGAGAGGAGAGCGAGAGAGAGGAGAGAGAGAGAGAGAGAGAGAGAGAGAGAGAGAGAGAGAGAGAGAAGGGAGAGGGAGGAGAGAGGGAGAGAGAGAGAGAGAGAGAGAGAGAGAGAGAGAGAAGGAGAGAGAGAGAGAGAGAGAGAGAGAGAGAGAGTAAGGAGAGAGAGAGAGAGAGAGGAGAGAGAAGAGGAGAGAGAGAGAGAGAGAAGAGAGAGAGAGAGAGAGAGAGAGAGGAGAAGGAGAGAAGAGAGAAGAGAGAGAGAGAGAGAGAGAAGAGAAGAGAGAGAGAGAGAGAGGAGAGAGGAGAGAGAGAGAGAGAGAGAGAGAGAGAGAGAGAGAGAGAGAGAGAGAGAGAGAGAGAGAGAGAGAGAGAGAGAGAGAGAGAGAGAGAGAGAGAGAGAGAGAGAGAGAGAGAGAGAGAGAGAGAGAGAGAGAGAGAGAGGGAGAGAGAGAGAGAGAGGAGAGAGAGAGAGAGAGAGAAGAGAGAGAGAGAGAGAGGAGAGAGAGGAGAGAGAGAGAGAGAGAGAGAGAGAGAGAGAGAGAGGAGAGAGAGAGAGAGAGAGAGAGAGAGAGGAGAGAGAGAGAGAAGAGAGGAGAGAGAGAGAGAGAGAGAGAGAGAGAGAGAGAGAGAGAGAGAGAGAGGAGAGAGAGAGAGAGAGAGAGAGAGAGAGAGAGAGGAGAGAGAGAGAGAGAGAGAGAGAGAGAGAGAGAGAGAGAGAGAGAGAGAGAGAGAGAGAGAGAGAGAGAGAGAGGGAGAGTGAGAATGAAAGAGTGAGAGAGTGAGAATGAAGAGTGAGAGAGTGAGAATGAAAGAGTGAGAGAGTGAGAATGAAAGAGTGAGAGAGTGAGAATGAAAGAGTGAGAGAGTGAGAATGAATGAGTGAGAGAGTGAGAATGAATGAGTGAGAGAGTGAGAATGAAAGAGTGAGGGAGAGAGAGAGAGAGAGAGAGAGAGAGAGAGAGAGAGAGAGAGAGAGAGAGAGAGAGAGAGAGAGAGAGGAGAGAGAGAGAGAGGATGAGAGAGAGAGAGGATGAGAGAGAGGGAGAGGAGGAGAGAGAGAGAGAGAGAGAGGATGAGAAGAGAGAGAAAAGAGAGAGAGAGAGAAGAGAGAGAGAGAGTGAGTGAGTGAAGTGAGTGAGTGGAGTGAGTGAGTGAGTGTAGTGAGTAGAATGTGAGTGAGCGATATA